CTCAGTCTGTCCGGTGGACGCGTTACACATGTAATTTCCACCAGTTTCTCATGCTATATACATTATTTACAACACAGAATCGATTTATGATATAACAGACAAAACAGGGAAATTTCATTATCTCTCCTCCGTGTTGGAAAATTCAGCTCTTCACCTCACGTGTTCCACATTTGATTGTGAATTTAGAGGCGCACATGATTGAAAATGTCATGATTAGAGCATTAAAAAATCACTCACAACTTTTTTCTCTCTTTGCATTGCATTTTGTGGCACAACAACGTCATTTGAAGCGATCATCAAAGGCGAAAAGCAGTCCACTTGCAATGTGGTGTGGAAAACACCTCAATTAGACCACCATTTAGTGGCACAATAAATGTATACAAAATTGTTGGATATACTCCAATATGCCGTGCTAAAATATTTCCCATTATTGCACATTTTGTCGTGTGTCACAGTCACATCCGTCGTTCCTATTTCGCTATTTACGCCAATATATATTTCCTCTGTCACACATATACTTTTTCCCATAAATTACACGAAGGGAGCGGAAAAGCGTCGGTCAGGGCGAAAAACCACCCCTCCGCGCGACCGAAAAAAGGGAGATGGCAAAGTCACGAAGGGAGTGGAAAATGTTGTGCATCAGCCTCATTTCACCAGCCACAAATTTTAGCTCATTTCACAAAACTTTCCTCAAAAAAACATTAACATATAACGAATGAGTTTCACGTGGAATTTATGCTGATTCTAATGGGGTCATTCTCTTCCCTGTAAAGTTTCATAATCTCATTTCACTGTGTTTTAATCCACTGTGCTACAAAACGTGATTGTGATCAGCATTCGCCAGTTGTACTGCCATTAAATATGCAGCACAGAGTGATCATTTTGCTGGGTGTGTTGAATGTGTTGAGAGCAAATTGACAGCTTTCTATTATGCACATGATATTCTGGTCCCTCTGGACCAGAGTGACAAAGTTCCCAATGCACTTTTCACATAACTAAAACAGTGTTCATTGTGAGGATTGACACCAAATTTCACTCAAGAGATTGCCGCTTAACCTCTTAATTATCATAGGGAAATGAGAAAAGTTTACTTGAATTGTTTATTTAAATAGTTTGTGCATATTCAAGAGACAAATTGTACCATTTTCATCAGAAATATCACTTGAAAAATCACCAGAAACTTTCTCTTAATTCCAAAATTGAGTGTCTTGTACAGGACAAATTGAAATAATCAACACTTGCTTCATCCACCGAGATACTGTTAAACGAAAAGTTGTACAAGATGATGAGGTTGAGAAAGTTTCTGTTTGCACTCTGGCAAGAGCAAAAGACAAACCATTTCCTGTATAACAGATAAGTATAGGAAATGTTTACGCACTTAGACGTCCTTTTTGCTACAAGTCTAGGCAAACCATTTGCGAACGTGACTGAAATATAGTCACTTCATTTGCGGAAATATGTTTAAATCCTCGATCGTGATGCAAATAAAATTCAGATTGAGTGCATAAAAATGTCGCGGATCGTAAAAATTGGTTTATCGCCTCGCTGGAGAGTTCTGGTTTCGTCAATGTGATGCAGAATCCATTGAATTACTCCACACAAATGTAGTTGGTAAATGGATAATATTTGCTACAAGAAACTGTACAATAACATTACTTTGTAAAGTGATTTGTTGTTGAGCGAATTGTTTACAAAAACTTGACAAACTTCCAGAGCTTTATAAAACAATAAAGAGCTTGTCATTATTCGCAACATAGTTGCAAAACTTATAAGCTTCTAATGGATTTCTGTAGAGCTTTTAAGTTGTAAACCTGACAAGACATTAATTTTTCCATGTATTTTCGCTACATAAATTCAAAAGGATTTGCCTCGCAACGGTACTAAAGGAAATCAGAGGGAATCTCAAAGGGTTTTTTTTTCTTTTCTTTTTACTTGAATCTTCATGACTTTGGGCAAATTTTCATGTGTATTTTCGTGGAAATTTTCCTTCCACCGCCGGCTTATCTATCGACCAAGTTGGGGTGAGCACTTTGGGGTGGGAGGAAAAGAAACCCCGTCTCTCTCTTGTACAACTTACTTAAGCATGTACATGTGTCTCAGGAGGAGGCAAAAGCCAGAAGGGATATTCATGCTGTTCTGAAGAAATATTGCGAGGACTTTATATTCCGCAGAAGAGCAACTCTGACGACACGGCATAAAAAAGCAACTATCGAGACGTGCGCGGGCGGGCAAAAACTAGCGAAGGGGGATGCCTTTTATGAAAGTGTGCCAAGTGTGGAGATACTGCACATACACCAAGGCGAGTCTATCAAACAAACAAATCTATATAAAATGCTGGGAGTTTCTCGAAGAAGGTAAATTCTACCTTTCGCTCCGGCACACACACACACACTGTGACGAGGGTTTGGTGTGATATAGAGAGGTTTGAAGGGTTGTTTGGGGGTGGTGACCCACTGAGGAAATATTTGAAAACTCACCTCTCATATGTACCATATGTATGGGAGCCTCGCACAATGTATGACATGGACGTGAATTCAGGCTTGGTTGGGCAAGGTTGTGAAGAGTGGGAGGTGACTGCTTTCTCATTTTTCCACCCCTCCGGTTCTGCCCCTTTTGCGCCCTCGTGTCGCCCAGAAACAATTGGGATCATTTGTTGTTTGTGTCAAATTTTCTACAGCCAGATATATTGAATTTCGCTGAAATATTTACCAGAGGGGGAGAAAATCCAGGGAATATCGCAGCCAAAGACTGTCTCAATAAATCGATTTGGAGTAAACCTTTAGTGGCTCCATGCACGCGATGCTGTCCACTAATGGCAAAAGTTGGTGTGCTTTGCGGTTGGATATTTGCCATCATAATCTCTTATCTGAAATCATCAACTCTGGCTCAGCGAGCATCTGAATTGCAATTTCTTTTTGGGAACGTCTTTCTTTAATTGAATTGAAATTGCTCTCCAATTTTGCCATATGTTTCAATTTTATTGAATTGAACACATTCCAACATAAAAGCCTCTATTTTTCCGCCACAAAATTCCAAGCATTTTCCCTAACACTATTTGGCATGACGGGTGTTAATTTAACTTTGCAAATATTTCACAAAGAATTTTCATTTACCACTCAGTGAATTTCCTCGAGTGTCTGAAGGAGAGGCAATTGTGTGGTATTCTAGAAAGTGAGCATAGATTCCGGAGCGCAAGTAGAGAGGATCAAACAAGATGCACTTGAGTTGGCTCTCAAAATTCCTCCCTCATGCTTGCAAATCAAGTGAAACGTCCACCGAGTGCCGAACGTATTGCTTATATCGTCAATATCAAACACACTCGTATTCTTGTCTCCATGGGCACTGGAAGAATACAAATATCAGCCCCAGTGAAATGTGCTTATTTGTGTGCCGAAGCACACGTGAAGAGCTCCCATGAATGCAAGAAAATGCGGGGCTTGCACACAAATATGTCCCGCATTTGTTGGATCCAGAGCTGAAATAATATTTGACGATGCATTTGCATGCGATGCGATGAGGAAAGTTCTCGTTTTCCCACCGCACAGAGCATTGGAAAGCTCTGTGTCGCGACCTTTTCATGTGAAAGTATGCTCGTCTGTTACATACACACATTCATTTGCATCCCCTTGACACTGAGCGGAATTTACTTTTAATTAACAGACAAATCTCAACGTCCTCTTTCGGAGTATAAATAAAACACAAATCTGACTAAAAGGGTATGTCAATTTAGCGGGTCAAAGTATATGTGTTTTTCCACAAGATTTTACTGAGTCAGGTCGTTTATTCCACACAACAAACAAAGGTCGTATGTACATTTTTTACAGGTGGAAATGATTTTTCCGTTTCAATTATTTTGATGAGAAGTGGAGCTCTGGAAGAGGATTTTTTATTAAGCTAAAAGCACAATAAATTAACAAAAAAAAATTGTATCAGTATTTCCAGTAAATTTGAAGATGATTTTGGTTAATTTTCCCTCATAAAATTTCAGACCATAAGCTTTAAATTGTTGTGTGAAATTAAATACAACATGGTGATAAAAACATAGAGGATATTTGAGTTTATTTCCACTGAACTTCACAACACTTTAGTGGGTGATAAATGTTTCACTGTTTATTTAAGCATAGATTAATTGCACAATTGTCTTAACATCTTCCTCTGGATCTGTTGCACTTAAGCTCCCGAAGAATCCACAGAAGTTGTACCATAAATCTCGTAGTCAGTACTAAATCACTGTATATTTTGGAATAAAATATGACAAACCCTTTGGCAGAGTTCTCCATGAGAAATGCCCCATGAATTTTTCTAAGAGCTTTTCACCCCAACTTCAACTGTGCGCTGGGGGGTGAAAAATATCACATTTGCAAAACACGCTGTATTTTTCTTGAAACCGTGGCACAATTTGTGGAGTCAGAAACAAAGAAGAAATGTTGTAACCCAAAGGAATTTCCGTGTGAGAGAGAAAGGAGGAAGTTTAAAGAGTGGAAATGCAAAAATAATGGGGAGAAAAATAGCGACATTGAGAAATCTCAAATGGTGAAGTTTTCAGTCTGTGCCCAAGACACCCTTAGAATTCTTGTGCGAAGCAATCGAAAACGATGAGGCGACACTTTGCGGTCTGCGAAAGTTACAAATTCCCAAGCTGAATATAATAAATTGCCGGGGATATTTTATTTTGGGACATTGTGAGTGGGGAAAATTGGAAAAGTGAGTTGAATCCCCAGGAGAGTCTGGGAAAAGTTTTTCCTTCCCTAATTATTTGTCACGCCCCTCGTTTTTTGAGGGCGGATGGGGGAAGAGAAGTCTTGCATTTTGAAGGTGTTTCTAATGAATTTAATACCTTTTCCTGTGAGCGGTAATTTAATTATTATTGACCTGTCGTTTTTTCCCTGGGTAATCTATCATGAAATTTAATGGTGGAAGAAAACCCTTATCAGCATCCTAATGGACACTTTCCCACTCAATTATCTAATTTCCGTTTCTCCTCTTTTCTCTCTGGATAGATCAGCGGAAAAGATGTCTCTGCACAACGAGCCGGACAACGCGACGAACTCCGGATACGGAAGCTCAGACGAGACAGCCTCGCTGCTGGTCATCACGACTCCGGCCACCAAGACAACGACCACAGTAACTGTGACAACGACTTCCGCCATCATTGCCAAAGTGGCCTCCATCAATGGGCCCACCACGAGCGCGGCCTCCGCCAAGCCCGTGCTCATGCGGCAGGACCGCACGTCCACGTACCTCACCAGCCCGCAGCTGTCGCAGACGATGGGCGGCTCCGAGGAGAGCGGCGGCAACGAGGAGGAGCACGAGATCACGCAGATCCGCTCCGTGCCCGACCTCGAGCTGCAGTGCAGACTCGAGGCGCCCGTCATCTCCGTCTCCATGACCAACGCGGCCCACGAGCACCGCGGCTCCGTCAGCGGCTACCAGCTGGCGCCGCACTCGCGTTGCCGCGCCTGCCGCACGTGCGACCGGCGCGCCTCCACCACAGCCCCGGTGTCCTCCCTGCACTTGGCCCGATCAGCGTCGAAGGTGAGCAAATACAGTTCGAATACTTCAATTTGAATCTCGCGCTTCCGACAACACAGTTCCAATGTTCAAAGAATTAGAGTCTTTTCATCAGCTTGTCTTTCTCAATACCCTCCAAAATTTCAATCACGGAACTTTGCAAAAGGTCGATTAACGCAAATTCTCCTAATTTAACGGAAAATTCTTACCATATCCCCAAGCTATGGAATTTTGTTATACAATTTGATTGCCAATCGATTTGAATGAGATTAACATAAATTGTAGCCAAGTTGTGCTGTAAAAATACACTCGATGAATTGATTACTGATAGAGAATTGTTCTTAATTGAGCCCTTTGAAGCTTAGAGACAGAAAATACATACATTATAAAAACATCACAAGGATAATTTTAACTAGAATGCTTTTAACCTATTTAATCAGATTGAGTTTCTTTGCGCATCAAAAGCGTAAAAAGCGAATATAAAAATAATTAAGAAATTGAAACGATTTTTAAATAGAAAATTCGAAATTCTATTCTATAGTGTGTAATTTGTTTAGTTTTCTGCCTCTTGCCAGGTATTGAGTTTGAATTTCAACCGTTGTCATGATTCTCATGCATGTTTCACGAAACATCCAACCCTTAGGAGAGCGTTCGCAGTGTTCTCCACGGGACACATCTGGCGCCAGCAGGCATGAGCGTCGGCGGTGGGAGTCCTGGCTACATCCACCAGCACTCGGCGTCCGTGCCGCCGGTCTTCATCACGACGTCGCCCAACTCCGGCTCGCGCATCATTCGCCAGAGCTCGCAGCCAGAGGCCAGCACCGCGGCGGTGGTGTGCTGCGGCGGGCACACGTGCGTGCATCCGCACTCGGTGCCCACGTCCTCGCTACGCCAGCTGCGCGAGCCCGCGGCAGAGGGCATTGCAGGTATTGCCGCCGACTCGCTGCGAATCAACGGCGCCATGCGGCCATTCAAACAGGTGAGCGCACGCATTGTCGGAATGCTGTAACTCCTTGGGTGATGTGTGTAGATTTTGCATTGTGCGACTCTCTCTCTCTCTCTCTCTCCGTCTCTCGCCGTCTCGTTCGGAGGAAGCGCACAGCCTTCAACTTGGGATGGTGTCTCGGATTGAGGGGTTTATCAGTTTTATTGTGCATTCTGAAATTGCACAGAAATGCGAATAACTCAATATTAAGGGCACTGTGCACATGTTCAATGAAGGGAATAAAACGTTATAAAAAAAATTGATCTTTACAAAGGGATTTTCTTGCGATGTTTGCAATCATAACTCAAAGAGCTATTTATAGAAATCATTTAACATTATCCATGTGTCTATGCTTACCAGCAATAAACACTGCAATGGTGTCTAATAAAATATGCTCTCAATTTGCTGAATTGCATCTTGTGAGATTTATGGTCACTTTTGCGTCATCTCCATCGGTATATCGTAAAGAAAGGCATTGTCAAGGAACCACGTTAAAAGAGGTGATAAAAATTTCAGTAAACTCCACTAGACAAAGTCAATATTTCGCATTTGAGAAGCACACTTGCACTCGCTGTTGTCTTTTATCGACAAACGGCATGACCAAGATGAATTTTTCAATGAACAACAAGCCATTATGGCAATCATGTAAATAGCTTATGATCAATGGAAATCAATCATTTGAAGCTTGACATTTTAAATCCCATAAGTTCGTGTTTTACTGTAATGTGTGTGATTAATATTTGTGGGATGTAAGTTGATGAATACACAAAAGCTTAAGTGAGTCTCTAATGAAAATTGCCCTTCTTTGACGAACCACTCTTGATATGGTGTGTATTTCCCAAGAAACCCACGTCATTATCGTGAAATATCTAGAGACGTTTTAATAGAATTTCAGAAAAATAACTTCAGGCGAGTTATATGACTCTATTTTCCAGCGAAACTCTTTACAAAAGGCATTGGCAGAAGGAGAGAAGGTCGTTTTATCAGTGAATTATTGATAACCAATGAATCCCATATTGTTATATGTGGGTTCTTAAAATGTCTCAACTCCATATGGTACAAAAAGGAGCTTACTTAATGTCTAGAAGAGAATTCACTGCCGTAATTTCCACCACAATTTTACACAATGGGGAGAAACTTTTGGGCGAACAATGAAGTGAAGTTCTAATTTGTCTGAAATTAATGACTTGAAAAGTGACCGCGTGAATTGAATGACACTTTAAGTTGGCAAAATTTATTCGCAGATCGAACAATTCTCATTGCTGTGGAATTTAGTGAAGTATTTCCGATTTGTAACGATAAATTAGTCATGAAGATCATAAATATAAATTGGCACAATTTGCAATTCAATAGCATAATTTTGATGATTGACTAGAAAAACTGTCAGTCGATAGGTGAATTTCAGTCGAAACAGACATATTAATATCAGTTGAAAAATCACAAATGTTGGACATTTCAGGAAAGTGAGTGAATTTTCAAAATTCTTTTTGATACTTACATTTCTTGAGTGTTTCAGGCTTTGAGCTTTTAATATAACACAAACAGTTCCTCAACAGATGTTTACTGTACACTTGAATGATTCAAATTTCTCCCAAATGTGTAGTTTCTCCCTTGTCTTCCAAACCACCGAAAACCAATTTATTTTATCAAGACGACAATCTCACTGACAATGCAAAATAGATCAATTGCTTTCAAGCTTTTCCGATACACCGCAATTGCCCAATATTGGCTGTATTCAATTTTTTGGGCGTTTTCCATTGCAATTTGCTGTGCAGATCCGGGCTGACGTTTTCCTGCATAACTTGGCTTTCCTGGTGTGCATCTCAAAAATAGACATCCCTTGAAAGCCACACATCGTTATGCATTTTAGAGTGATTTCTCCTCAGACAAAACCACCGAGTCGGAGGCTATTTTGTGCAGGAATTTCTGGGCTTCCGAACACACACAACATGTGAGATAAATTTGACGAGGAGATCACGCGAGAGAGAGAGAGAGTTAGTGTGTGTTGTGTAAAGACAGAGAATAATGCATTTAATAGGGGTTAATAACCACACTATTGAGCATGACTAAATAGTGCAAGCGAAGAGAGTCTATTATGAGCATTTGAAGGAAGCCAATGAGAACTTGAGAAAGGGTGAAAAGTGCCCCTAAAGCGGAACTCATCAGAAAATCAACTTTCGTCCCATCTTTGGCTGTGTTATATAAAAAGTTGTTGTGTTGTGTGAGATTCTTTCAAATTGTATATTTTATTTTTCAGTGAGTTTTTGTATACGAATTGAGTGCAAAAACCGTCCCTTTTTCTGCCTCATTACTAACCGACTTGAATGGAGGTTTTTTTTTCTTCCTGTATAGTTTTCTATTCGCAGTTTTGCATCATTTTCCCAAATAGCTACAAAAGAAAAAAAAAATCTTCCTCCATCAAAGCCATAATGAAGCTCATAACATGGGCAAAAGAGAAGCAATAGTGAGAGGTTGTAAAAAGATGTATTCATTCATATTCACAGAACGTAGAAGTGTTGTGTATACAATTTTGTATCTATCTTCCTCTCTCTAAATTTAATTTTCTATTCCACCGGTGCTTCGCGAGTACAAAAAAGCCAGTGAAGAAGCAATATCAAAAAGTATATAAAGAGTTTATTAATAGTGAATGTATTTGGTGGCCACTTGACGCTACTATTTTTGATTTGCTCAATTTTCCTGGCGCGTTTTCCAACCTCTTTCCATCTCTCGTTGCGGAATTCTACATCTTTATCATGAGAGATGATATTTGTTGTGTATTTTTCTTTCTCTCCTCTTGTCTCGCTATATCGAATGATACACAAATATCCCGTCCTTTCCCCGCCCAATTTACGCCCCAAAAAAAAAAGAGATTCCCTAACAATATTCCCATGAGAGGTCTTCCATGTATTCATATCTCTTCTTCTGGAAAGGCAGCAACCAAGGAGAAAAAAAAGCGAAACTTTTCTTACGATTTCCAATCCACTCTCTTCCCCACACTTTTGCTGGCATAAGTGAGAAAAAAAAATCTTGAGTATTTCTTTTCCTATCATTTTATGTTTTTCTATCTTTCATCGCTTCTCCCTCGAAAATCCAAACCGGCGATGAAGTCGAGCGAGAGAATATGGATAACAGAGACTTGATATTTTCAGTGTGCGCTTCTCAATAAAATCTCCCACACCTTCGCAATTTATCCCACCTGGCTCTCGAGAGCACACAACCAGAAAGAAAAGCGCACGGGCGGGGAAAGAAAAACACACACGCGGCGCAATGATGAAAAACTAACTCAAAATAATTTAACTCCATCTTGTAAGTAAATTCTCTCTTTCATGGTTTGTACATATTGTTGAAAATTTGTACATAAAACAACTTGATTTTTCGCACTGGGGTTCTTTTTTTGCTCTGTGTGCGTCTTACTACTCTTGATGATGCTGCCGATGAGCACAAGGAAGATTCTCTTGTGGATTTTCTCGTGGGTAAATGTTTGGGGATTTTGAGGTGAACACAAAATTGCGCAAAATACGCACAGCAAAAAGGAAAAGAACTTGTGTTTGTGTGTGTGTTTCAGCTCGCAACAATGAGAGGAGTTGTAAAAATCACAGTCATGACGCTACAAATTGATGGCGAAACACCTGAGCAAAGAGAAAAATGATGCGGGATTTCCTTCCTGCCAAATCATACTGAAAATTCTGTTCATCTCAACCTTTTGTTTGACTCACACGAAGATGGAAATATTGTGCAATAGGATGTTAAAGCCGGGGATTTTGGTGATGATCTTCTCTGAATTTGTGTGCATAGAATAAAATACGTTTAGCATCATCAAAGCTTTCGCGTGAACTCATAAAGAATAGATTGTGTGTCGACAATGTTAAACTGAATGCGGCAAAATATAGCTGCACATCCATCAATATTCTTGCGTGAAAATTGCTCCTTTGAGTGCACTTACAAATATGCAAATTGTGATGGAATTCTGCTGGGAAGAGTTTTCAATGCTCCGCGCAAAGAAGAGTTGAAGTGAATTTGCTTTCACTCTGGCACAGAGAGTGATTTTTCAAAATGACACAAAAACCTCCCGAGAGAAAAACCACAATGAAAGGAGGGAAGAGACACAAAAGGCGAAAAAAAGAGGAAGACGATGGAGTAAATGTGCGGGAAAAGAGGAGAAAGCTTCCCATATATAACATATGCATATAATAGAAGGAGTATGAAGAAAGACGCGCACTTCTCATAAGGCAACAAAGTGTCTTTTGTGCGTTGAGAAAAAAATAAATTGTATCACATTGAAATAACTTCTATTTTTGTGTCACGTCAATTTCACAGAATTTTCTTCATCTTTGGCTTAATTTTCTCTGCTCCTTTCATTTTTCTTTTCCTCGCTCTCTCTCTCCTTTGTGATTCTGGCGTGGAGTGAAATTATAAAATTGTATTAAAATTATGAGGATGAAGAAGGAGCGCATTAATGTGGGCGTCTTGTGAGAATTATGAAGACAAGAGAGAGACTGATTTGTAGTTGAACAAGAATGATCATCTTCTTCTGGTAAAATACTTCTATTCTGTTAATTTCTTGCTATAGGGTGTTCTGCTGTGTCCGCAAACACTGTCGCAAAGCAGACGAACGCGTCTCCGACGCGCCTTCACCGAGGCCACCAGCGATACCATGCAATATGTTAGAACGGTACAGAAATTTACTACCAAGTCACATTATTCAGAGAATTATATATATTATTATCTTCATTTTTTTCTTAGCCACACCTTTTTGCATCTCCGCATATATAGATTACAATTTTGCAAACATTTTCTTTTATTTCATCTTATATATCAGAACGTGTTGATGTAGTATAAAAAAAAATGTTGATTTCCCAATTTCAATTAATTGTGTTGAGCCAGAAATTCAACTTGGCCATTAAATTTTGTGAAAACACTCCATAATATTGGAAGTTCTTTGTGCTGAGTTTCAGAAAGAGAGAAAAGGAATTTCTTGGCTTTTATATTTCCTCCCCCCCACATTTAGCTGTTGCACAATTCCCACCCCTTTATTCCAACAGAAAAGACAATAAATATTAGGACGAGAGGAAACACATTTTTGCGATATAAATTTCCCAATTAATTGTTGCCATATTTTCACACACAGAATGAGAATCATTTTCCATTTTAAGCAAGCACAACACTGGTATAAACGTGTTTTTAGGAAGTGATTTATTACTATTGCTCTGGTTGTATCGCTCCACTCTTTTCCAACCCCCTCAATCACAAATTGTAGTGGCTTGGAGAAAGCTTATTTATATTATAGTAATATGACTTACACATCACTTGCAACACAGCATTTCACCCCCTCTTAAGAATTTCCAACTCACTTTCACTCCACCCCATTTCCAACGAAACACCCTCGCTGAACTGAAAATTTCACAAGTGTCGTCTTCACTTCCCACTTAATCACTTTCTTTTACCAAATAATTTTGCTTCTCTCTGTTTTAATTGCTTCTCTCCCAAACATTCACCCATATTACTTGCAATGTACACTGCCAGCAATAATTACAAACAGGCCGTCTTGGAAGGACACGCCGCCAAAGTAACAAAATACACTCGTCACTCGCTCAGCGGGAAAATTAAAAGCTCCAACCCATTCGAAAGTGGGTGTGTTTTGCGAAATGAGATCTCGTGCCTTTTTAAATGCTCGCACTCCATTTTTGGTCCACAGGAAGTTTTGATGAGGGCGCGAGGAGAGATAGGGTGAAAAACATGCTCGACGGGAAATTAACACGTGAAGTCAGGGAAATTGTTTTACATGCCAATTTTTTCTCCCCGCCAGAGACACGCTGAATTTTCTCCAACTCTGTGCACAAACTTTTCCCGTGGGAAAACGCCCCAGAGTGTGCCATACGTTTAGAATATTTTGCGTCGACACGGGGTTTGGGGAAAAACAAGTGCGGAATTTCCATAAAAAAAAGGCGAAAGGTCGTCCGCGAGATGATGGGCAAAAGAGAGGCAGTGAAAGTGTGTCAAAGTGTTTTGCTGATGAGTTTTGAGGCCATCAATCAAGAGGAATTATCAGGTGATAATCATACTGACGCTTTCGATGATGCAATGGCAAAAAGGTGATGATAAAATCTCATGAAAAGCATCCCTTTTTTCCTGCTCATTATAATTTATACGCATAGTATAATGTACATATCAATTTGAGCTGAAGAGCTATTATTTTGGCAAAATGTCGCACATCAAATCGAGTTAAAATAGGACATGTTGCAATTTGATTACATAGTGGAAAGTGTGTCTCAGTGCGGATTGATCCCATCAAAGTGCAACTGAGCCATGTGCAGCACTTCGGTCCTCAGTACTTGGTGAATGTTGCACCTCTGTTTTCGCACTGATTGACACTCTGCCGTCCTTCCCAGTCTTCAAATGAAAATAGATCATATCCGTCAGTGACTTGTAAGCCCATTGTCTTTCAACTGTAGAGCGGATAATCCTGTAATTTGTAATCTCCTAGCGTGATGCGCAAACACGACGAAGTACCTGCGGGCGACTTGGGTCTCTGGGGGGCATTTTTATGTGTGTCTGTGGCAGTCCTGCGGGTCTGTGGGGATGTGTTTGTTTGTTAATTTCGTGTAAATTCACCATGTAGCCGTAAAATTGTCAGTTTAACCATCAAAATGACGGCTGTATGAGAAATTCGAACAGCTGGCCACACGTTTGTCTTCATAAATAAATAATAATTATGTTTTGGCACGATACTTCTCACCGCAACACACACACTTGAAAGACTATACCTTGCCTAGACTAAGGAAAGTTTCATAGCGCATATGTTTAATTAAAAAATTCTCTTGAAAATTCCGGTAAATATCCCGGGAAGGAGAAAGCGCTTCTCTGCAACTTTTGTGGAAAATAATGGTGTGGATTTTTGAGAGTTCGCAGCAATTTGTTCGTTGCTGAAGAAAGGCGGAAAATCCCTCACACTGAGAATATGTGTTTCCATGTCACTAGCATAAATCCTAGCAATATTTGCGAGATCTACCATTGGAATACACACTGAGCTCAATTTCGGGCACTGTTGGTTGCTGCTATATTGAAAATTAAAATGGGAGATACACGAGAGATGAGTGCCGAGGCAAATCCACGCCATAATACCACTTGTGACCGCACAAATTGTGCCTGAAAGCCGCATTTTCTGTATAGTGTGACGATGGAGGCGCCGGGTGTGGTGGAGGCGCCTGGTGGCTCACGACTACATATTGAATCTTGAGCCGCTCAGCCTCTCTCCCGGTTCTTTTTCGCCACACACATAGCATAGCTTAGCAAAGGAGCCAGTATAAAAAGCATAAGGGCATCAGACCTCTGAGCCATGCGAGAAGAGGTGGTGAAACATTAATGGAGTAAAAAGGTTTACAGTGTGGAACTATCCCTTTTCTTCAGTCTCGTGTGTAATTGGAGTTGAAGGAGAGGGTACATAATTGGCATAACAAGTCGATTAGTCACAAAAGAGGCAAATTTGTGAGTATATTCATGGCACTGGAAGTGTGAGTGTTGGCATGACAGTGTGCTTTTTTGGTGTGGGAAAAAGGGGAGAGTGAAAAGATTGCGGAAAAACGATTGAGATGTGTCCCCATCGTCACTTTACAGCAAATAAACAGCCACTTTTGGGCGTGGAGAGAGTGGATCTAAAATTAAATTGCGTGAAAATCTCATCAGACCGTGCAACATGGCATCTCGTGGGAATGAATTAATTTGCAAAACATGTGACGTGAAAATCAGGCGAATTGTTTGCTCTTGTCGTGCGGGACTTTTGGCCGAAAACTTTATATACACACACACATCCCAGGAAGCATTTACAGATTAGGTGATATTGTGCTTAAACACTATATTCTTGCTGCAGAGCATTTTAGCAGCAATTGTTGTGTTTTCCAACGAGTTTATCCAATTACACAGCAATTACTTGCCGTTTGTTCATGATATTTCATCAATTTCCATGAGGGAATCCCTTCACATTTCCCAGAGAAATACTTATTGTTGTTGTGAAAAGTAATCCGCGCGTGAAAAAAGATCGTCTTTCACGTAAAACGAGCGCGCCAGGATAACAACATCATAAGATATATAACATTAATGCCCTTAATTCAGAATTAATAGTCAATTTGAAGAGGAGCGCATAAAATGGAGAGAGAAAATGAGCTTTTTATAAACTCTCGTAATACATGAAATAGTTCTTTATGATAAAGTGCGATGTCTCTTTATGTCTAATTAAATTTCTGCAAAGAGTTCTGATCATAATTCGGCCACTTGAGGATGGGAGAATTCTATCGCACATTATAATTCATGGATTGCCCTTCATTTTAACCCAAATGCATTGAATGTGTTTTGAAATTATACTGCCACTTTAGCTCTTAAAACCATCTTGATTGTGCCCCACATGGCGTAGCTTAGAGTAGAATTCAATTCATGTGGGAATTATGCTGAATTTGAGTTTGTAGTTTAGATGAAGAGACAATTGTAAGTTAAAGCATCGTCTAATCCGATAAAATCTGTAGGCAACTTTCTGTCAATGCCAACCCCTGAAAAGCACTCACGAGGGCTTTAGTCATAGTTGCGTCAAAAATTAGAGTGAATTCGCTGAATAAATAATTTCACAGAAAGGAGATTTGGGAGTGTTAATTGTGTGAGCTTTGCTGGTGTGTATTTTCCACCATCCCAGAAACCGATTCTTGCGAGAGTGATTCCGCAAGATAGAAAAGCTCCGCGGCAATACAATTGAGACTGAAGAGGGTGTGTTTCGTTTCGTCATTCTTAATATCGCTCATGAGAATTCTTTTTCGCCTTGCTCGCGGTCTTGCGTGATCACGAGCGGACGCGCTTTTTGTCAGCATTTTCGCTGCCACATCATTCCTCAGCTTGATGGTGTGCATGGAAGTTGGTTGGGAAAAATTAAATTGGTCTAGGGAAATGAAATCAAGTTTAATCTCCACTAATCAGGTTACATCTTGGTGCCGGGAAGAGAATGTTTTTCCCTGGCTCTTCCGGCTCTCGCTCTCACACTCATTTTCTCCGACTATATAGCGAACGTGATTAGACGGTGAGCTTGTGTGCGGATAGAAAGTTGTGCGTGTAAGCTTCGTTTGTCGTCGCGACGCCCGTTAAATTCATCGACCCATTGCATCGTTACATCGACGTCGTCGTCGCTTTTCGTTGTGTCGTCACCGATTGTGTCTCTCGTTCGCCACTCGGCAGCGCCTTGGCCATCCGAGCTGTGAGCCACTCTATTCAGTTCGTTTCCAACTCTCGTTGCTGATGCAGTGACCACATCATCTCGGCCAAGAGTACCGCGGAATCTTCTCAATGCCATTTTTACCCATTAATAGATGAAGAAGGAGTGTTCAACTCACGGATTCTGACCTGTGTCGCGTGGGAGAGTGTTAGCCGATATATTAACTCGTAGGCTTTAACCACAGTGACCTTTCGCGTGTGTGTGAGTGTATGCTGATTGAACCTGCGGTGTGACACTTCTAGGTGACCCTCCTGAGAACCCTCGATATTTCATGCGACTAGGCGTAGAGGCGATAGTACAGCCTATACGGTCGAATATGACTTTTCTCCGAATGTCACCTTGCAGCCGCTTTCGCAAGTGACGAAGAGGACACCCAAGGATACCCCAGAGTTTCTCAAGTGCCGCCTCAGATAGAAGAAATA